ATATGAACGAAGTTCGATGTAAACGCTCAAGAAGCCTCGACCGACGTGCAATCCCGATGGAATGCAGTCGAAGGCTTCTCAAGAATCGAACAAACGTAATGCATGGAGGGGCAGCACCAAACGACAGCTCGGAACGACCCGCAGGGGAAATCCCCGAACATGAACTCGTGACAGCTGCAATGCACTCACTGTTTCGCTCTCAGCGCCAAGGCTTAGGCCATTTGGCCGCATCCGGGCGACAAACTCTACCTGCCGAGCGCAGCAGGAAGTGTAGAGGTGAATGCAGACGATCCTTCTCAGTCAATGGAGAAACTGCATCTCGAAGACGACTGAGCTCATCAGCAAGGTCATTCCTGTAGCCAGGGATGTGCTCCACAGAGGCATGCAAGCCATTCCTGCGCTGAAAGTCAAGAAATGCAAGGAGGACCTCACCCAGGATCTTGACTGAAGACATCCCTTTCACTGATGCAAGTTCCGCACCGGAGTTGTCGGAGCGCATGGGTATGGTCAGCTGATGACGTGCCCGTGGCACCATCTCCGAAGCCATCCAGAGAAGGCAGTATTGAGCGAGAAGCTCAAGCGCACAGATGTGAGGCTGTAGCGAACCCTCCAGGGATGGAAAGAATTGCTTAACCTGCGATGGATTCAAGGAGACGGAAAAACCATCTGCAAGCACCTGCACTGAATGTACCCACCAAGTCCGCACATGTCCTCATCCGCAAAGGCATCTGCTTCAGCCACCAGATGCAGCAACGGAGCTTGCTTGATGTTGAAGACACAGGGTGTGGAGCTCAAGATGGCCGCCCAGGACTGCAGAGCAGAAATGGACGGCGGGGAGAGACATCGAAGTGGGTGATCAGAGTCCTGGATGGAGACCCACAAGCGACGCTTGATGAAGGGAACCCGCTTGAGCTGCGCCAGGGAAGAGATTGCAGTATTCCCAGCGCGAAACCTTCCGGGAAGGAAGCATGATTCAAAGAGCGCAGCAAGCGTCCTGAATCAGAAGCATCCAAGACCTGAGTCCACAGCTGCGGCGACACAGCCACAATGGTGCAAGGTATGTCGCGAAGGGCAGTGTAAAGTGGCTGGAGCAGGGGACGCAGCAGGCGCCAAAGGCCAGTCAGCCAGAGAAGACGTCCAATAATGGATTCAAGGTCCTTGATTTTGATCCGCTTCTGCGGGCACAACGAGGTGATCTGGTCAAGGATGCGATGAATCTTTTCATCAGGCAACTCCACGGTCCATGAGTCAAAGGAGATTCTCCAGCCAATCCAGGTGATTTGGTCGCCAATGGAGCATTTGGACCCCGAGATCGGCAAGTTGATGCAGAGAAACACATCACCCACAGACTTGCATGAAGTGGAGCAGTGGACTTGCGAACCCAGCCAGCCAGTCATCAGCATAGACCCAAAGAAAGTGCCTCAGAAAGACGATGTCGTGTGTAACCCGATGTATGGCACCGGCCAGGCGGGCCCAGTTCGAAGCACGGGCGTCGAAGTTGAGGTAGAAAATGTAAGCAAAGTCCTTTCGTGCTGAGCAATCTTTTTGCGACGGTGAGCCTTCTTCACGTCAATGGAAGCGCCCATCTAGAGGTCCGACGGCAAAAAGAAGGTGCACAAGGAAGAAACAGCCTCATGCGAAGATTGGAGACGTTAAGAATCACAGAAGAAGAGGTAACACCACTGATGCTGGAGTCCAAAACCAGTCTGGAATCGCGACCTCCGCGAGCACCAGGCCCAGTCCGAATGCAACCTGAGGAAACTTATGCTGCATGGCCTCAAGGGATGCATACTCCGTAATCCAGGAAGCACGAAGTTCCGTTCTCTTTGAGCGATGAAGAGGGGCAGGACGTTGCCAGACATACACTCAGAGAGTCTCAGAGGGACATGCATCACAATGCGACGGAAGTAAGGTCTGCTGAGACGCCGAAAGAGCGTGGCAGAGAGATACAGTCAGGTCAGACCGAAGCGCAGGCATCCAAATGAAGCGCACCTTAAGAGTGTAGGCGGCGAGAACCACACGCAATCTCTGGGAAGGTAGCACTTCATGAACGAACTCGGGTTAAGATTTAAGAAGAGAGTTCGGCAAGTCAATTTCCGGTATGCGCGGAGAGTGGTTTTGAAAGTTAGCGGTCGGTGCGTGCATCTGGGTGGCGTAGACTTGCTATCTACTGGAAGTCAGCTCTGCTCTTCAGCCTTCAGCTGCGGTTTAGAAAGTCAACGCTCGCGTTTTGGAAGCAAAGTTAACATTTGCCATGCGCTTGTTCCTCAGAAAATCACACTCGGCGCGTGCAGTTGCTGCACGTTGACGAGAAGAATCTTCCACCGGAAGTTGACTCCAACCTGTGAAAGCTGAAAGAAGACGCGTCTGGAAACCCTTCTTTTCGATGTGAATTGTGCCGAAACTCAGTGAATTCGCTTCGCTTCTTCCGCAGCCAAAATGTGTAACAGTTGCCAGTTTTGGAAGGTGATTGTGCCTAAACCCAAGGAAAATGCACCTTCCAAAATAGATTGCAGAACGGAAAGCTTATTTCAAGCGTTGTCTTGTTTTTTTTGGTTTTTTGGCAATGTATTTTAGAATGTGTGTTTTCCTTGAGTTTTTGGCAGAATCGCCTTTTAAAAGTGGCAACTGTCACAGGGTTCCGCTTGGAAAGGAGCATTTCCTTTTGTTTTTAGTGCAGTAGAGGCCAGACTGCTTGAGACTGTTGCATTTTTCGTTTGTTTGCAATCAAAAAATGGCACATGTCAAGTGGTTCTCTGGAAAGTAAATGTTTGACATTTGATTCGTGCGGT